CGGAACTCAGATCGCGAGGGCGTGGATATGGATACATTCGCTGCTCGTGATCACGATCAAGAGCTGGCCCTGTGGAAAGGCCATAGGTTCAGGGCCCGCTTCCGTCAGGGCCCTCTTTCCTTCGCGCTGATCGGTAGCCATTGCTTTGGCTCTTCCAGGCGCCTAGCTTCCGCAGGTACATACCACTTCCTTACATCAGATCAGTCTATACCACATGCTCGCCCGCCTCGCAGCCGGGGCGGCCCTCCTCGGCGCTGTTCGCGTTCGTGCGGAGGGAGAGGCCCTGACGACCGAACTCGCAGAAGAGGTGCTTGCCTGGGCGGAGGAGATCCTGCCGAGCCCCTGGGAAGCTGTCTTCAACAGGCCGTCGAACAGGGACGTGGGCTCTGTGCAAGACCACCCGATTGAGGAGAAGTACGAGCTCTATGTGGCTCCAGACTCTCTCGAGACCCAGCGCGAGCTGGACGGCTTCCCGCCCAATGTCGCGATGGGCAGAGTGCTGATCAAGGAAAACAAGAAGCCCGCCATGCCGCCTACAGAATACCGCATGACAGGCGTCGGAGGCGAAACGGTGAGGCACCTCAACGGTATGGTGAATCCGTCCGGAGCTACGACTGTCTGGGGCTGGCAGAGGCTGAGGTTTTTGGCCGTGAAGACGTGGATTGATTACCTCGCGACTCGCAACACCGAGAAGATCGTCGTTCTCCATGCCAGTGGCGAGACATTGTACGCTGGCTGTGACGAAAACACGATCTCCTACAAGTACAATGAGATCATCACCGCCAGCGGTGGGACTCAGACGATTGTCTTGGCTGCTGAGGTAAGCCCCTGGCCTGAGGAGATTGCATGGCGCTACGACCAGTACCCTAGTATCACGGCAACCATGTCTACCTTCCTGACAACTGTGGGCGTTGATCCGGCTTTTGCCACAACATATGCCGACTGCACCAACACAACTGTCGGGTATTGCACCACCCCGCCCAAGTACCAGTACGCGAGCTCAGCTTTCATCATGGGCCCTATCGGGGATATCTCGGATATGTTCGCAGATATGTACTTCTGGTCCGACTCAGAGAACCGCCTGGTGAACGAGTACTTCCTCCACAACCCCGATAAGGTGGCGCTCGACTACGCCGGCGTCCTGGTGCTCTCCCTGAACAACATGAAGCTGGACGGGGGTATCCCCGTCACGGTGACGACCTCGTCAGGCGCGAAGTCTTTCTCGAACGCGATCACCGGCTCTGCCGTGTGCTTCGTACACGGCAGCGGGAACTCATTCGGTGCCCTCAAGGTGCTCGCGCAGGAGCTGCTCGCGTGAGAGCGCGGTGGGAGCGCAACAGGCGCGGGGCGTCCCGCCCTCCTTTGAACCTGCGATCATCTGCACTTTTGGCGGAAGACAGAACTTGCTTGAGTGAAAGGTTCACGCGCAGAGGGGGGTAGGGGGAGGGGGGAAGGCTTCTCAGACGCACCCCTGCTTCTTAGACGGCGCGGGCCTTGCCTACAGATGTATAGCTGGCGCCTTCTAAGAAGCAGCCTCCATCTGAGAAACCTTCCCCTCCCCCTACCCCCCTCTGCGCGTGGCCGATACGCGGAGATGCTTGCATCACTTGAGCCTGGAGTGGCCTGTCTGACGGGTGGCGTCACGGGCAGGGGGTCGGCTCGTGGGCTGATGGCCGCCGTGCAGTGCGGAGGGGCCAGCCCGTGTCGTGGGCCACTGGAGACGCCACCAAACGGGGAGGATTCGAGCAGGGGCGAGGATCGACAGCACCCCTTGCTTGCTTCCAGCAGGGGAGGACGATGAGGACGAGGAGAGGGGAGGGGAGGCTGGACAAGCACATCGACGGAGAAAGGGGCCAGCTCAGGACAGGGACAGGGTGTACCCCAGAACATCCTGGAACCTTTTGGGAGCGCTCCGGCGAGCGTTGAAGGGCGCTCTGGGACGGCCGCGGCGCCCGATAGTCGACCAGACGTAAGAGTGACTTTTCGCCAGAGCGCCAGAGTGACCTTTGGTGCGGGCCCAATGGGGCTCACCCGGGTGGAGGGTTTCTCCGAAGGGCTTAGGCGACCCGTCCTCTTCCTTCTCCTCCTCCTCCTCCTCCTCCTCCCTCCTCCTCCTCCTCCCTCCTCCTCCTCCTCCTCCTCCTCAAAAAGCTGAAGAAGAAGCTCAACAAGCTGAAGAAGTCAAAACGTCGCAGGCGGGCGACCAGCAGTACGTCAGTCCGGCTGCCGTCTCAGTCGCCGTCGAGGGCGGCTTCGCCGTCGCGGAGGCCCCCGAGACCCACGGCAACGCCGCGGAGGTCTGCGTTCCCGACTGCGCCATGGGCGACGGAGGGCTCTACAAGCAGCTCGAGGTCGGCATGGTGATCATGGTGAAGGGCCAGCGGTTTGAGGTGCTGGGTTACAGGACTGCTGAGGGCAACAAGCAGAAGCTGGTGGCATAGAACGTCAGCACGGGCAGTACATACAGGGATCTGACGCCGTGGTTCAACTACGCGGTCGTCGAGGCGGCAGGCGAGGGCGCAGCTTTGGCCACCGAGGCGCTGGCGTCCGACGAGAAGGAGGAGCCGCAGGATACGGAGGAACCCGCCAGCATCGAGGAACACGAGGAGCTGGACAGACTCGAGCGGTGCACGTTCAAGGGTCTGGCGAAGGTTCCAGAGTTTCCGAAGCTGGAGGCGGGGGAGGAATTGCGCCCCGAGGACTCGGTCGCAGGGAGGGGCGCGATGTTCCTCGACAAGCTTGGCAAGGACATCGAGGAGGAGCAGCTCGCTGGGCTGATCGGCGGGGCGGGGGTTAAGGACGACGGGGAGCTCACCCTCTCGACCTTCCTCAGCTTGGTGGTGGCGGACGGGTCCCTGGATGGGGAACTTCAGCGCCGCCGACCTTTTGTGCTGCGCAGAGAGGCGCGGCCTGGACGTACTCTTCGACAGCGCTGTTGAGAACAGCAAGGTGGAGAGCAAGGAAGTCCCTTCGGGGGCCTCCGAGGTCTCGAAGGCCCGAGTGGCCCCTTGGGGGGTGAGCCCGCCAGGTCAGGTTCCACCGTGGGTGGGGCCTGCTGGTCGGGCCCTCTTGGGCGCCTTCGGTCTTGGGGTTGTGGGATTTTGGTCGCTCCGCGGTGGAACCCAGGGGCGGATTCTTCTCCTGGGGCGCGGGGTGACGCTGCGGCGTGGGCCGAGGGGCTCGGATGTCAGAGCCTGTGTAGTCAGTGCCCTCAGTGCCCTCCTCCTCCTCCTTCTACTCCTCCTCCTCCTCCTCCTCCTCCTCCTCCTCCTCCTCCTCCTCCTCCTCCTCCTCCTCCTCCCCCTCTTCCTCCTCCTCCTCTCCTCCTCCTCCTCCTCCTCCTCCTCCTCCTCCTCCTCCTCCTCCTCCTCCTCCTCCTCCTCCTCGGGTCGCCTACGGCCCCGGCGGAAACCGTCCAGGCTCCCCCCCGGATCGCTGAGCGCGAAGCGGTAGCAGCGGCTTGCGCGCTTGGGTTTGGCCACCCCGCGTCCCCCGTGAAGCCGCGCACCCAAGGCCACTGTTGCCCACGGTTGCTCCCGCGTGTTCGGCGGCGGGCCCGGGGGGAAGCGAGAGGGGGCGGGCCTTCTCAGAAGGCTCGGAAGTCTCCCTGCCTTTGAGAAGTTTTCTGAGCCTCCCCGGGAGACACAGAACATTTTTCAGAAGGCTCGAGGCTTTCTGAGAAGCCCCGCCGCTTGAACAGGCCTTCTCCGCCTCCCCGCTCCCCCCCCCCTCGCTCGCCGCCGACGTGTGGCCGAGATAGATCCTTGAGGCCCGCCAGCTCTCAGAGGTCCCGAGCTCTCTCTTTGTCCGATGTGGTCCGAGTTCCGCCCTCATCTCAGCAGAAGGGGCCTCTGGAGTCCAGGGCGGGGCGTCCTCTTCGCGCGCCGCGGGGCCCCCCCGCCGCTGGCGGCGCAGCGGGGCGAGAAGGGGTCCCGCCAGGCCCAGGCAGCCGACGTCGCGCGGAGCGTTCCAGAAAGGGCCTCGCCTTCGAGGGTCGAAGGAGTGGCCTTCTCGTCCTTGGCGGAAGGCGGCGGAAGGTCCGCGGAAGACGGCGGAAGTGCAGCGAGGCCGCCTCCGCAGGCGAAGGGCGGGGGGAAGGCGGGCGGGAGGCGGGCGCGAGGCCGGCGGAACTAAAAGATGCGCCCCCAAGACATGACAACGTTTTTGGGCTCAGGGTTTCCGGAACCTGCCAGGGGTTTTCCACCGCGTGGCTCCGCAGAGGTCTGGACCCCCTTCCCGGGGACCAGCTCTTCTTCGCGCCGAGTCGCCCTTTTTGACAGCCCCGGGGCCCAGCGAAGGTCTTTGGAGGCTGAAGATGCCAGCAAAACCTTCCGTCTTGCTCCTTCTCACGGCGTCAGGATGTCAGGGTCTTCTGCTTTCCCGTCTTCTTTTGGTTCGCCTTAAAAGCGCCCAGTTTTTTTAAGCGTTATCATTTTTTATTTCTTCCGTTTTTGGCGACTCCAGGCGGAAAGCAACGCATTTTTAACTGAACGATTCAGCGTTTTTAGTTTTTTGTTGAGGCCAAACAACGCCAAAGCATGATTTCCAAGACGCCGAGTTGAAAACGCTAGCAAAAACGCCCCGGGCATACTTAAGGCGAACCAAGCGTCTTCCCTCCTCGTGGAACCCAGTTTGTTTCGTGCTGGGGGCCCCTGCGTTGTCGTCTCCGTCCCGGCCTTCGCTCCGTTCCGCCGTCGCCGCTGCGCCGCCGATGCGTAGGCGACGCGCGGCGATCTTCTGGCCCCATGTTCGGGGAAACGCAAGACTCGAGAAAGCCGGAACTCGGGTTTGCCGACATTTTCTGACGAGCGCGCCCTGATTTTAGACGGTCCAGTATCCGTGGGATGCTTGCAGCAGGAGCTCGCGTCAAGTTTCAGATCGGGTCTCGTTATTTTCATGATGGCGCCGTCAGGCAAACCCGAGTCCCCCGCACCCGAGTCTTACGTTTCCCAGACATGTCGGGGCGGCCTCCAGCTGGTTCTGGTCCGTTACGTGGCGAGAGCCCCCGCGCTTCCGTTCTCCTCCTCGCGTGCTGCGCTCCTACTCTTAAGTCGGGGGTGTCCCTCTACAGGAGGAATATGCAAAAATGATCCCAAAATAGTCAGGGGACGATTTTTTTTTTTTTTTTTTTTTTTTTTTTTTTTTTTTTTTTTTGACAATTTGGAGGTATTTTCCCCAGCCAGAGCTTGCCTCTGTAGGGTTCCTAGCGGATTCATATGGTTAGGTGAGGTTCGTCGCCGTTTTCGGTGGCCGGCCCGAGTGCCCCGGTGCCCGGGTGCTCGGGTGCCCGGGTGCTCTATCGCCCTATAGCCCTATAGCCTATAGCGCAAATAGCCCTATAGCCCTATATCCCTATAGCCTTATAGCCTTCTAATCCCATAGCCCCATAACCCTGTAGCCCTTTAGCCCTACAGCCCTATAGCCCTATCGCCCTATAGCCCTATAGCCCTATATCCCTATAGCCCTACAGCCCCATCGCCTGATAACCTTATAACCTTTTAATCCTACAGCCCTATAGCCCCATAGCCCTATAGCCCTGAAAAGATCATGATTGGGTTTTCTCTGGTACCTCTGGAGAATAGTTCCAAAATCCGCCTGTAGGGGGACACGCCCGACCTGATCTCACTCCTGTGCTCCTCAGCCCGCCGTGCCTCTCTCGACTTGTGGCTCGCTGCGCCGTGGCTCGAGCTGCTCTGGCTCGTCCAGGCGCCAGTGCTCTGCACCTTCACGTCCGCATCCAGCGGCCTGCGGCGAGTCCCGCCTCCGAGCCAGCGCAGCGCTCCGTGGGGCGACGCCTCGCGGCTCCATGCTCGGAAGCGCTCTCTCACCACGGGGGCTGGCTGGGCCGTCCTGGGGCCGTTTCGGGTCCCTCGATCTTGGCCGTCTGGGGAGCCTTCCGGGGCTGCCTGGGGGCCTCTTGGCGCCGGCTTTTGGGCTGTCCTTTGGGCCCCTCCTCTGCCGTCTCGGGGCTCTGCTCGGGCTGTCCTAGGCTGTCCTGGGCCGTCGGGGGGCCTCCTGTGGGCCCTCATCGGATTCTTTTGGCGTCATCATGAGTTGGGAGGTTTGGGAAATGCAAAATACCACCAGCGAGCGCAGACTCCAAATAGATCATGATGCTGAAATGAAGTGGACCAGAGTGGACTGAAGTACGCTGGACAGGACTGGGTTGGGATTCTACTCTACTCTACTCTACTCTACTCTACTCTACTCTACTCTACTCTACTCTACTCTACTCTACTCTACTCTACTCTACTCTACTCTACTCTACTCGTACTCTTCTCTTCTCTACTCGGACTCTATTCTAGTCTACCCGACTCTACTACCATCTACAATGCGATACTCTGCTCCGCTGTACTCTAATTTACTCTTGCTTTACTCTGTTCTAGTCTACCCGATTCTACTCTACCATCTACCCTACTCTAGTCTGCTCTGCTCTATTCTACTCTACCCTACTCGACTCTCCGTATCCATTTTGGGCTCAATCTGTTCACTCCTTCGGGTGTTTCCACGGATGCTGGTAGTCCGCGGCCAGTCCTCCATGGTTCCAAGTCCAGGGCTTGCCCTGGAAGTCCATTTCCAGAACCATGGGGCCGCCGCCAGGAGCAGAGTACGTGGTGCTACGAATACCGCGGACGCCGCACTGGCCGTGCCGCTGTGGCTTCGTCGGCGACGGGGCTTCGAGGCCCACGTGCCGCGAGTGCGACGACAAATGCTCCTCCAAGGTCGAGCGCGCGGCATGGAATGACCGCAAGATCGCGGTGCTCAGTCGCAGTGGAACACCATCACCAACGGGGGCGTGGGCACCATCGGCTACGGCAGCCACGAAGCGCACGCCCTGGGAGCACATGCGTTTCGAGCAGCAGGCCCAAGACATCGAGGAGCGCAGGAAGCTCCTCACCGACCTCAAACGTGAGGCGATGGCAGCTCAGCAGGTATCCTCCATCGAGCTCAAGGCCGTGGTCGGGGGAGGCGAAGCAGGCAAGGGCATCGCTGTTACGGTCGGGAAGCTGACCGCCAAGTACGAGAAATAACCATATGCCCCGACGCTGGGTTCACTCCAGGCAGCGACGCACAAGCTCGAGCGGCAGAAGGTTCCACGCCCGCAGGCTCGACGACAATGGGGGCATAAGTCCCAGATCGTGGAACAGATCGGGCGCGAGAGAGCAGCATCCTTTTGAACTCGATGGCCAGCGCGTCGAGGCGGAGGCCAATATCAAGAAGGTGCACGGGGCAGCGCTCGGAGCAGGTCTTGAAGGGCTCAAGGAAGCAATCGAAGCCAGCGAGCCTCAGCAGTGCATGCAAGGCGACGCCAAGGTCGACGCGGCCTACGGGGCGCTACTCGCCATCCTCCAGGAGGCAGTTGGCGAAGCCAATGAGGAAGCCGACGCAGCCGCGGGGGGCCTGCCGACGCGGCTGCCAGCGGTGGGACTGGTGCTGATGGCATGTCTGCTCGCAGCCCAGGTGGCGACGGCGGAGGCGCCAGTCCACGTGGGCAAGAGCCAAACTGGGACGACCCAGATTTGCTGGGCGACCTTGCTGCAGAAGGACCGCCAGCAGAATCCCCAGAGGACTGGGTGAAACGCCTCGCGGTCATCTTGGCAGCAGTCTAGAGGCAGAAGGTCTAGCGGCAACGGGCGCCCAGAGGTCAACGCCAACGCCGACCCCCAGGCCCGCGTCGTCAAGTGGATCGAGGGGCAGATAGATTGGGACTTGGTGAAGCAGGGCATGGACACGGAGTCAGGGCCTAACCCAGACACGGGCTGGTGCGTTCCCAGTTCCCCGGATTGTTTCCAAGTTCAGGGCAGCCGCGGGCATCCCAAGAGGCGTGGCCCAGCCGCCAGCACCAGAGCTTGTTGGACCTCGCGGGCCCAGGATCCAGAGTTGGCAGCGCCGCAGTGGCTTCGTCGGCGACTGGGGTCAGGTGCCGAGGGGCAGCGAGCGCGATCAGAAGCTCCCCCTCAAGGCCGACGGCGAGGATTGTAAGGCGCCCGGGCAGCGGGGCATGCGGGGCGAGTCGGGCGCCGACGAGCGCTCGGAGGAGCATGGGCCAAGGCCGCCATCTCGGAGGTGCATGGGATCGTCTCCCCTTCGATGGCACCCTCTTTCCGGTGCCCGACGTGCTTGGTGAGTCTTTGGACATTTGAGGGCGCAGCCGTGGATGGGTTCTTTGTGGCAGGAGGAGACGTCTGGCACGACATCGACGACTGCGTCGATTGGTGCGCCCATTCATGGTCATGATCTTGCAGCGGCCGCACCTCGTCCCCGCTCGCGCGCGCGCCGCCGCCCCCAGTGCCGTTCCCAGAGTCGACGTGCTTACGGGCGTGGTATATTTGCGAGGCCGGCTGGGCCAGGACCGCGCAGACACGCAGCAGGCGCGTGGCCGTCGTGGAGGCGCTGAGGGGCGAAGCTGCTGTGCGACAGGTGAGTGCTTCCGCGGCTCGGCGCCAGGTCATCGAGCCGCCGTGCATGTCCGACCCCGCCTGGAGCGAGCTGCAACCGAACCGCCCCATGGATCGCGGTGGCCCTGATCGCCGACCCCGTCGCCGCGGGGCCACGTGTAACTTGGGGTGCGGGGGGGGGGGGGGCGCTAAAAGGGCAGCAGGCGCGACTGGGAGTGCCTCCTCCAGCTGGGGCGCGAGGGGTGGAAGTGCCGCGAGCCGCTGGGCGCGGGCGCAGTGGGGCCCCCCCGCCGCCTGGGGGGGCGTGGTCGCCGTCTGCTACGATTCCTACGAAGCGCGCTTCTCGGGGGCGCGCTGGGCCCATGGGGTCCGAGGGGCTTCGGGGGCCAGACCTCAATAGCGAGGCCGCGGGGGGTGCATTGGCGGCGGGCCGAGGGGGGCCTCTCATCTGGCAGGGTGGGCGCCGTGGAGATGCGCAGATGGAGCGATCGCTGCGGAGGTTTGCAGCGGCTTGGCCCCCCCTCGACGTTGGTGCGCAGCGGGGGCGCGGCCGAGGTTGGGCTGGCTTGACTGGCGCGAAATTCGCGACTTCAACTGCGTGCAGCGCCTCGTCTGCGGCTATATCGTCGCGTGGCAGGCGGCGGACAGCGGCGCCCCGGGAGGCCATTGCGCTGGAGGTCTGCGATGATGACGCTTGCCGCAGGGGCGGGACTGGGAGGTTTGCGCCCCGGCGCGACTTCTTGAGTATCTTCGGCCCATGCGAGGAGGCCAATCGGCGGGGCCGTCCAGGCACCGCGGCGGGGGCCCCGCCGCCAGCAGCGCCGCCCCCCCACAATGGCGTCGACCAGTGCGTATACGCGCAGCAGCGCCGGGGGTAGTGGTGCCACTCCCATGTCTGCGCCAAGCTGCAGCAGCCGTCCTTCGACCGCATCTACAAGGGGGTGGGCGGCGACGAAGGCCCGCCACTTTTCCGTCGGCTGGCCGAAGACATGTGCCAGATCGCGTTGGGCAAGGGCGAGCGCAGGCGCGCGGCGACGCTCGTCGAAGCCATCGTGGGGCTCGCAGATGAGGACGGTGAGAGGGGGCGTCGGCAGCAGCGAGAGCAGTGCGAGCGGCTCAGAGGATGGCGACCTCGCATCGTGCTCGCGCCTCGACGATGCTCGGCCTCATCGGCGGCCCCCCCGGACGTCGGCGTCGGGGCCGGCGCGCGCATTTACGCCGCGGGCATCGGGCTGGGCGGGGCCCGACTCCGAGCCCCCCCGCAGCCTCGGAGGCGGGGCGCAGGGGGCGCCGACTCCAGTGCCAGGCCAACAGTAGCAGTGGCAGCATGCGCGGCGGCGGCAGCAGCGCGAAGCCGTCGTCAGACCAGTGGGGGCCGCGGCAATGGCATCAGCTCCAGCGCCCAGCCCGACAGGTTCGCCTGCTGCTGAAGGGGGGGCGGTCGCCCACAGTCGCTCAGCGGGTGCGGCGTTCCAAGGGTTCCTGTGGAGGGCCCGTGAGCTGAAGACCGCGTGGGTGGTGCAGAGGAGGGGCGAGCGTCTATCGGCCCCGCTGAGTCGTGCCCTGGGCTCCGCTGCGGCGAAGATGGCGCCGGCGGGGAGGCAGCTGCAGCGGCGTTCTCCCAGCAGTTGCCAGGGCGGCAGTTGCGGCGGCCTCCTTTGCCCCGGCCATTGTAGCCAGCCCGACGTCGACGCGATCGAGGCAAGTGGCGTCGTCCGCGGATTCGCTCGGCAGGCGCAGCATCTCTCCAGACTGAGTGTGAGGCTTCCGTGTGTGGGCGGTGGGGCGCCGCCGGGCTGTCCGCTCCCAGGGCGCCCCCCACGGCGGTCCCCATGAGGACGGCGTCAGCGGCGATGAGGGGCTCTCGGCGCGAGCCAGCTCTCATCTCTCTCTTAGCGCCAGGCTGGCGCTCGCCCGCCCCGCCCCTGGCGCGGGTCCAAGGCTTGAGCGTGGAAGGCCCACTGGCGTTTGGGTCGCGGGCAGTGCCGGGGATCTGCTGTGTGTCCGTGGGTGCCCTATTCTGCTCTACCCTGCCATGCCGTGCTCTAGTCTATCATGGCCATAAATTTGTGTATATATATATATAGATATAAAATAAAAGTCAAATTTATTGTATTCTATGTATTTATATTCTATTGAATTATATGGTTTCTACTATATTATATGGTACTCTGCTCATGTTCATGCCCGACTCTAGCATGCTCCTACTTCGACTCTGAACTGCTATAATATACTTTACTCTGCTTCGCTCTGCTATATTTTGCCGTGCTTCTTTCTGTTTTACTCTGCTCGTCTACTCTTCCGGGCGCGCTGTCGCCAAGGTGTTCGGTCACGCGGCGGAGGCAAACGCGCGTGCAGGCATGTCTGCGTGTTGGCGGAGGGCGGGCAACCAGCGCGCCGACCGCTTCGCGAAACATGTCGCCCTCTTCGCGCCGCCAGACCGCCGCCCTGACATCGCCTTCGGACTCGACGAGATTGCCAATGCGGCGATGCTTTGCATGGGGAAACTGCGCGCGCATGCGGGCTCAGGAGACCAGAGGCCATGCGGCAGACATCATCCTGGAGATGCCCGACCACGAGCAGGTCGACGAGTTGGGGGGCAGCGCGGCGGGATGCGCAGCTACCAGGGCGAAACCAGCAGCGGCGGCGGTCGCGGTGGCGGCGGCCGCGCTGGCGGCAGCAGCCTCAGACGAGGCCGGCAGTGTCGGCGGCGAAGGGCCCACTCCAGTGCAGTCCGCCAGTGGACCCCCGCGGCGACGGCAGCAGAGGCAGGCCACCCCGCCAGCGGCCAGCAGCGAGGATGGCGGTCACCCATGGGGCTTCAAGAACCACGTGCTGGTCCAGCGGCGCATCACTGCAGGCCCAGGATTTCCTGCCCCGCAACCCGATTCGGTGTTCGTCTGCCAGAAGTGCTACAGCCATTGGCATGGCAGGCCCGCCAGGTCCAGCCTCCTCGAGAGGTGCGGCGACTGCGGCAGTGCAGCCTTGGAGCCCAGGAAGGGGTCTGGCCAGACACCCGCACGGCCGCCAAGAGGACACGGTGGCTCGGGAGGCCTGAGATCGCAGGTTCATCGAGCTCCTACCCTGGCACGTCGATTAGCGAATCGGCCGTTGTCGGTTCGCGAGAGGGCGTCGCGGCCGTCATTTTTGCGGGTCCAGGTCGGTCGGTTGCGGTCCTAGGCCGTTTTCACTACAGGGTGGTTGGCTAAAGGGAGGGTGTCCACCGCCGATGAGACGCCGAGTCAGGGCTGGCAGGGCGCCCTCCGCAGCTTCGGCGACAAAAGGGGGAGGTCGCCCGGGCAGCCTGCGACCGCGACGGCGGGGCAGGCGCGAGGGGGGAGGCTGCTGCGGCGGCGGCCTCCTCAGTCGCGACGGGGCCCGCTGGGGCCGCGGCGACGCCGAGCCCCAGCTGCCGCGCCGAGTCCGACGGCAGAGAGGTCGGCGAAGGCGCGCCGCCAGGCGTGCTGCTCCATGGGAGACCCCGGCGGCGTCGCCAATGAGGGGGGCTCCCGCGGTTGCGAGGACCTCTCAGCGCGAACCAGCTTTCCCTCTCTCTCACTGCGTTCGGCTCGCGCTAGCCCGCCTCGCGCTCGGCGGTCGGTTGGGGGCTAGAGAGTGGAAGGCCCGTCGGCGTGATGGCCACGGGCGCGGACTGCCCCCGATCGTGGGGGAAGGGCTGCTGTGAACCCGCGGGTGCCCTGCTCTACTCGATTCTGCTCTCCTCCACTCTACTCCACTTATGAGTTTGACGATTGTTGGGCGATTGTCGGGACGCCATCGGAACAGCCACAGGAAGCCAATGGAATAGCAGAGGAGGCCATGGGGATGCAGAGGAAACCATGCGGATAGCAGAGGAAACCATGTGGATACATATGAAGCCATGCGGATAGCAGAGAAAACCATGCGGATACAGAGGAAACGATGCGCATAGTTTAACAACGGCCAGTGCAGAATCGGTTGGGGTGGGGGGTGGGGGAGCAGTGGGTCAGTTCTCTACGCATGGAGCTAGGACTCCTATTGGCAAACCTGTTTGGAAACATACATAAGAACACATACGGAATTGCATTACTGTTTGAATGGTTTTGGCCTTCCCGTAGGGCCAATTGGCCTCCTTCTTGGTGCCTTGGAAACTTGGAGAGCTTCAAACAGTGCCAGGACTGCGTCGGGCCGGCCAAGAAGCCTCGGGAACGGGGGAGGGGATGCATGCAGCACTGTGTGACGGAACGGGGAGGTCTTTGGATGATGTGATGAAGCCCTGCCGGATAGGACATGGCGCTCTAGAACGCCTCATCGTGCCAGGGGGCAAAGCGGCGGAGACTCTCACTTACGTAAACATGGTCACCCGCCTTGCAGCGGAGACTCTCACTTACGTAAACGTAAGTATTTGTGTGTCCTGGGGCCCCTTCACAGAAGGCCGTACCATCTGACATCTCTCGTCCCCATTCCTGAACGGCTCTCATCGTGGGGGCCAGCTGTGCCGTCTTGGGGGCCGCTGTGGGGCCGTCTTGGCCCCCCGTGGCCGTCTGGGGAGTCCCTTTCGGGGCTGTCTCCTGGGCCACTTGGGGCCCTCTTGGGCTGCCCTGGGCCCCTCCTGGGCCGTCTCGGAGCTCTCTTTGAGCTGTCCTGGTCCGGCTGGGGACCACCTTGGGGTCCTCATCGGATTCTTTTTGGCCTCTCTGTGACTCCTTCGATGCCTTCTTGGAATCACCTTGAGCTGAGAAGTCAGAGAAACGCACCATTATGAAGACAACCTGCGGGTTTCTTCGTGTATTTGAATGGTTTTGGCCTTCCCATAGGGCCTCTTGGCCTTCTTTCTGGTGTCTTGGAATCCTCTTGGGTCCCCTTCGGCGCATCATCTCGGGGTCTCCTTGGGGGCCGGTGTGTGCCGCTTGAGGCAATGTTTGGGCATCTTGGCGGCCTTCCTGAGCCGCTTCGGAAACTTGGAGAGCCTCAGACGGCGCCAGGAAGGCCTCGGGCCGCCAAAGAAGCCTCGGGAACGGGGGGGGAGGATGCATGCAGCACTGTGTGACGGAATGGGGAGGTCTTTAGATGACGTTCGGCAATCGTATCGGATAGAATTAGGCGTTCTAGAAGCCTCAACGTGCCAGGGGGCAAAGCGGCGGAGACTCTCACTTACGTAAACATGGTCGCCCGCCTTGCAGCGGGGCTAGCCCTGCTCGGCGCTGTTCGCGTGCGTGCAGAGGGAGAGGCCCTGACGACCGAGCTCGCAGAAGAAGTGCTTGCCTGGGCGGAGGAGATCCTGCCGAGCCCCTGGGAGGCTGTCTTCAACAGGCCATCGAACAGGGATGTGGGCTCCGTGCAAGACCACCCGATTGAAGAGAAGTACGAGCTCTATGTGGCTCCGGACTCTCTCGAGACCCAGCGTGAATTGGACGGCTTCCCGCCCAATGTCGCGATGGGCCGAGTGCTGATCAAGGAGAACAAGAAGCCCGCCATGCCGCCTACAGAATACCGCATGACAGGAGTCGGAGGCGAAACGGTGAGGCACCTCAACGGTATGGTGAACCCGTCAGGAGCTACAACTGTCTGGGGCTGGCAGAGGCTGAGGTTTTTGGCCGTGAAGACGTGGATTGATTACCTCGCGACCCGCAACACCGAGAAGATCGTCGTTCTCCATGCCAGTGGCGAGACCCTGTACGCTGGCTGTGACGAAAACACGATCTCCTACAAGTACAACGAGATCATCACCGCCAGCGGTGGGACTCAGACGATTGTCTTGGCTGCTGAGGTAAGCCCCTGGCCTGAGGAGATTGCATGGCGCTACGACCAGTACCCTGGTATCACGGCAACCATGTCTACCTTCTTGACAACTGTGGGCGTTGACCCAGCCTTTGCCACAACATATGCCGACTGCACCAACACAACTGTCGGATATTGCACGACCCCGCCCAAGTACCAGTACGCGAGCTCAGCTTTCATCATGGGCCCTATTGGAGATATCTCGGATATGTTCGCCGATATGTACTTCTGGTCCGACTCAGAGAACCGCCTGGTGAACGAGTACTTCCTCCACAACCCCGACAAGGTGGCGCTCGACTACGCCGGCGTCCTGGTGCTCTCCCTGAACAACATGAAGCTGGACGGGGGTATCCCCGTCACGGTGACGACCTCGTCGGGCACGAAGTCTTTCTCGAACGCGATCACCGGCTCCGCCGTGTGCTTCGTGCACGGCAGCGGGAACTCGTTCGGTGCCCTCAAGGTGCTCGCGCAGGAGCTGCTCGCGTGAGCGCGCGGCGGGCGGAGGCACAGGCGCGCGGCGTCCTCTGCCCTTCTGCCGCAGCCCTGCGAGCATCTGTGCCTCTGCGGTGGAACAACAGGGCTCGCTCGAGTGGCTCTGAGTCAGGAGGGGAACAAAAACACACAGACACAATTAATCGTCGATCCCCAGGAAAATATGGGGAAATATGGGAAGTGGGGGGGGAACACAAACAGCCAGAAAATATAGGAAAATATGGGGAATCCTGTTATTTGTGTGTATTTATTTGTGTGTCCCAGGGCCCCTTCACTGAGGAGAGGTGGCGGGTGCAAGTCCCCAGTTGCGGGTGTGCAGGCTGGCGGCCGGCCCTCTGGAAACATAGCTTGCTCGGCGTCGTGAAGGGAGCGGTTCCTGGCAGCCCCTCCGGAGCTTGAGCCATCGGTGGAGATGCTTGAGCCGCCTGAGCCTGGAGCGGCTTGTCTGACGGGCCAGAGCCCGGGAGTCGCTCGTGGGCAGGACCACTGCCATTAAGCTTGAGTCGGGCCTATCCCTCTACAGGAGGAATATTCAGAAATAGTCCAAGAACAGTCTGGTGATTATTTGTTTAATTTTTTTTGACCATTTGGGAATATTCTTTGAGTATTTTTTATTTTTCGGCGAAAATCCCCCTGTAGGGGGACACGCCCGACTGAACATTAAGCGGGCCCGGCCCTGGCGCCACTCGCGACGCCCCAACCGGGGATGATGCGAGAAGGAACGATGACTGACCGCTGTTCTTGCTCACTTTCGCCAGGCTCAGTACTCGGGTCTCGTCTGCGGGCGTGGTCCCCTCAATGGGGATCGCCGTCTGTCCATTTTGTGGCGGGTGCCGCTGGGCAGTCGGCGTTCGCCAAAGAGCGTGCCACGCCCGCAGACGAGGCTGGCATTTTGAACCCCAGTCGGCTCTCTTTCCGTCCCGTCGTCGCCGTTGCACCGCCGGTGCATGGGCGATGCGGTGCGATCTTCTGGCCCCGCCTGCTCTGGCCCTGTGTTTGGGCGGCCTCCAGCTGGCCCCGGGTCCCTTTCGCGGCGAGGGCCCCGCGTTTCCGCTCTCCCTCGCATGCGCGCCTCGGCTTGCGGCGCCTCGCTCGCCTCGTGGCTCACTGCGTCGTGGCTCGAGCTGCTCTGGCTCGTCCAGGCGCCAGGGTTCTGCACTGCCACTTCCATATCCAGCTGCCTGCGGCAAATCTCGCCGCGCTCTGTGTGGCGACGCTGCGAGCGCCCTTCAGAATCAGGAGGGGAAAAAACACACAGACACAATTATTCGTCGACTCCCAGGAAAATATTGGAAAATATGGGAAGTGGGGGGGAAGACAAAAACCCAGAAAATATGGGAAAATATGGGGAATCCTGTTATTTGTGTGTATTTATTTGTGTGTCCTGGGGCCCCTTCACAGAAGGCCGTACCATCTGACATCTCTCGTCCCCATTCCTGAACGGCTCTCATCGTGGGGGCCAGCTGTGCCGTCTTGGGGGCCGCTGTGGGGCCGTCTTGGCCCCCCGTGGCCGTCTGGGGAGTCCCTTTCGGGGCTGTCTCCTGGGCCACTTGGGGCCCTCTTGGGCTGCCCTGGGCCCCTCCTGGGCCGTCTCGGAGCTCTCTTTGAGCTGTCCTGGTCCGGCTGGGGACCACCTTGGGGTCCTCATCGGATTCTTTTTGGCCTCTCTGTGACTCCTTCGATGCCTTCTTGGAATCACCTTGAGCTGAGAAGTCAGAGAAACGCACCATTATGAAGACAACCTGCGGGTTTCTTCGTGTATTTGAATGGTTTTGGCCTTCCCATAGGGCCTCTTGGCCTTCTTTCTGGTGTCTTGGAATCCTCTTGGGTCCCCTTCGGCGCATCATCTCGGGGTCTCCTTGGGGGCCGGTGTGTGCCGCTTGAGGCAATGTTTGGGCATCTTGGCGGCCTTCCTGAGCCGCTTCGGAAACTTGGAGAGCCTCAGACGGCGCCAGGAAGGCCTCGGGCCGCCAAAGAAGCCTCGGGAACGGGGGGGGAGGATGCATGCAGCACTGTGTGACGGAATGGGGAGGTCTTTAGATGACGTTCGGCAATCGTATCGGATAGAATTAGGCGTTCTAGAAGCCTCAACGTGCCAGGGGGCAAAGCGGCGGAGACTCTCACTTACGTAAACATGGTCGCCCGCCTTGCAGCGGGGCTAGCCCTGCTCGGCGCTGTTCGCGTGCGTGCAGAGGGAGAGGCCCTGACGACCGAGCTCGCAGAAGAAGTGCTTGCCTGGGCGGAGGAGATCCTGCCGAGCCCCTGGGAGGCTGTCTTCAACAGGCCATCGAACAGGGATGTGGGCTCCGTGCAAGACCACCCGATTGAAGAGAAGTACGAGCTCTATGTGGCTCCGGACTCTCTCGAGACCCAGCGTGAATTGGACGGCTTCCCGCCCAATGTCGCGATGGGCCGAGTGCTGATCAAGGAGAACAAGAAGCCCGCCATGCCGCCTACAGAATACCGCATGACAGGAGTCGGAGGCGAAACGGTGAGGCACCTCAACGGCATGGTGAACCCGTCAGGAGCGACGACTGTCTGGGGCTGGCAGAGGCTGAGGTTTTTGGCCGTGAAGACGTGGATTGATTACCTCGCGACCCGCAACACCGAGAAGATCGTCGTTCTCCATGCCAGTGGCGAGACCCTGTACGCTGGCTGTGACGAAAACACGATCTCCTACAAGTACAACGAGATCATCACCGCCAGCGGTGGGACTCAGACGATTGTCTTGGCTGCTGAGGTAAGCCCCTGGCCTGAAGAGATTGCATGGCGCTACGACCAGTACCCTAGTATCACGGCAACCATGTCTACCTTCCTGACAACTGTGGGCGTTGACCCAGCCTTTGCCACAACATATGCCGACTGCACCAACACAACTGTCGGATATTGCACCACCCCGCCCAAGTACCAGTACGCGAGCTCAGCTTTCATCATGGGCCCTATTGGAGATATCTCGGATATGTTCGCCGATATGTACTTCTGGTCCGACTCTGAGAACCGCCTGGTGAACGAGTACTTTCTCCACAACCCCGACAAGGTGGCGCTCGACTACGCCGGCGTCCTGGTGCTCTCCCTGAACAACATGAAGCTGGACGGGGGTATCCCCGTCACGGTGACGACCTCGTCGGGCACGAAGTCTTTCTCGAACGCGATCACCGGCTCCGCCGTGTGCTTCGTGCACGGCAGCGGAAACTCGTTCGGTGCCCTCAAGGTGCTCGCGCAGGAGCTGCTCGCGTGAGCGCGCGGCGGGCGGAGGCACGCAGTCCAGAGACCACGCCCGGGACTCTCGCCTCTAGCCGACGCCCGGAGCTTCGAGCGGATGCGACACAGAGGAGACAGCGAGCCGATCCCGGACCCCCGACGTCTTGCTTTGTTCCTGACGCGGGCCCCCGAGTGCCTGGATGCCTTCCCAGGGAGAGGCGTCTTATCCCGAGCCGCCTTTGGACCGTCCTGGGGCCAGGCGAGGGCTCCGCCGGGCACTGAGATCCGACGCCGCGAAAACCAAGGCGCCGTCGCGAAAACAAAGGACCAGAGCCCGAGATCCAGTTCTGTGTTGCCATTTCTCGAGCCAGACCGATCTGTGAGGGTCCCGGGGCCCGATAGCCTGGCGAAGCCGCCCGGCGCAGCAGATTGGCAACGCCTGGATTTCATGGGGAGGCTCTGGACACGGCCAGAGGCCTCCCGCCGTGGTCTTCTTGCGACGCGAGGGGGTCTAGGACTGGTACGGCCTCGGGTCGCGCACAGACAGCCCCTCCAGGTGATGCCGGCCCACCTCAACGGGCCCATCGAGCAGTCCAAGCTGGTCCCAGCCGGCCCCCTCCGAGTAGCCTTAAGTCGGGCGTGTCCCTCTACAGGAGGAAAATCCAAAAATAGTGGTCTGGGGACAATTTTTTTTCATTATTTTATTTATTTTTCTTTTCGCCCGAAATCCCACTGTAGGGGGACAGGCCCGACCTAAAGGTAGCACCGGCTCACCTCAACGGGCCCATCGGGCAGTCCAAGCTGGTCCCAGCCGGCCCCCTCCGAATAGTCCCGGGCGGTCTCAGCACCCGGGCGCCGCCTCCTGCGGCGCCCCTGGGGAGGCTGCCCCGGGCTACTCGGAGGGGGCCTGCCGAGGCCAGTTGCCAGTTGGGACCAGTCGGGGGGCCCGTGGAGGCCAGGTGGGACTACCTCGGAGGGCCGTCTGTGCGCAACCTCCTCCTCCTCCTTCTTCTTCTCCTTCTGCTATTTCTCCTCCTCCTCCTCCTCCTCCTCCTCCTCCTCCTCCTCCCTCCCCTCTCCTCCTCCTCCTCCTCCTCCTCCTCCTCCTCCTCCTCCTCCTCCTCCTCCTCTTCCTCCTCCTCCTCCTCCTCCTCCTCTTCTTCCCCCTCCTCCTCCTCTTCCTCCTCCTTCTCCTCCTCTCCTCCTGCTTTCTCCCTCCTTTCCTCCCTCTCCCTCCTTCCTCCTCCCCTCCCTTCTCCCTCCTCCCTCCCTCCTCCCTCCTCCCTCCTCCCTCCTCCCTCGTCCCTCCTCCCTCCTCCCTCCTCCCTCCTCCCTCCTCCCTCCTCCTCCTCCTCCTCCTCCTCTTCCTCCTCCTATTCCGCCTACCCTCTGGGCTCTCGCCTCGAAGCAGATCGGGCCAGGGACTCCAGAGCCAGAGCTGGCCACCATCGGCTCGCCTGTCTCCTCCTCTCCTCCCCGCATCCTCCTCCCACTTCCCGCATCCCTATGCATAGGCTTGGTAAGTAATGCCCCTCGGTGGTTCTAGGCCTCCCCGATGGGGTCGGAGTAGATGGGGTCGGATGATTACGCCGCATCGCCGATGCATCGGCGATGCGGCTCGATGTGGAGCCTGATTTTCTCCACGCCGACGTCTCTGGCACATCGTCGACGTGCCCAATATGTCGTCGATGCGTCGGTGATGCATCGACGATGCGGCGCGATCCTCCGACCCGATCCGCTCCGGCCCCACCTGGGAGGCCTCCTAGTGTTAAGTCGGGCCTGTCCCTTCTACAG